AATTTTGAATGCGAGTCAACAAACGAGATGAAATGGCCTTTCACCTGTGACCCGTCTTGAAAGGCTTAAGCCATTTTTTTAGCTATAACCTATGTAGAACTATGTGTATGATTGAGAAATTGTTGGAAGTGTTTTAAGATGCTCAAACATCTTATTGTAAAATGTGTAAAGATTTTTATACATATTTTGTAGTGTACGTTATGATTATAACTTATGAAAATATTGTTGCTGTTATTACTTTTTCTTCCTTGTATTGGTGCATACAACAAGTTCCATGTGTAGAAGACTGATAGTAAACTAATAATACTTTCAGGGCCTGTCGCTTGAAAAAAAAAGCTCAGCATGAAGCTAACAAGCTGAAACTTTATGGGCTTCAGGAAGAACACAGTGAGTATTAAATTTATTTAACTTTAATATATGCCAAGATTACTGAAACAACTTTTATTAACACTTCCGAAACCTGTAATGTTTACAACTGTAAGGCTTCTTACGTCAGAAATCACCACCACAATTTGTGTGCTTAGAAAGGTCATGCTACAGTGATAGAAATGTTTTGTGGAGTACTCATTTGGCTTCTTATTTATTTGAAATTTGTGCTTTACATGCATCTTACTGTTTTAAACATCTTACTACATTTAAAACAGCAACTGTTTGTTAAGAGTGATTCAAGTAATTAAGGGGTTTAGTATGAAATTTATGCTTTCATAGGTGTTTAAACTTCCACATTACCGATGTAACTTATCAGGACATAAAGAAAATCAAGGTTATGGGTAGCCATTTAGCCCACCAGCTATCAAAACAAATGGAAATGTAACTGTCATATTTTTGGATGTATCCAATAAACATTAAAAATCTACCATATTCTTTGCATCACTAACCAACTCTTTCATGTTTATAATTCTAACAGGGAAATAATTTGCCAAATAACATGTCTGGATCTAACCTTTAATACTGAAGTTCATATTCGGATCTTTTTCATCCCTCAACCAAGTTAATGATAGACATCATAAACACCAAAACTTAGTCACCTGTCTTTTGCACTCTTGAGAAAACAAGTCCAAAACTAAGCCTTTCTTGATACCACTGATTTCTTTTAGCAGATATCACACTAATAGCCTATCTGTGCATTCTTTTCAGTCCCCCCCCCCCCATAAATATTGTAGTGAAATGATATTCCTATAACTATTAGTGCTATGGTGAAAAGGTTCAAATTATTCATATGTGAATTTTGTAACAGTAAGTTTTCCATATGGCATCCTTTAATTTTTTTACATGAAATTCAAATTGAGCTTTAGGAAATTGAAAGTCAGAATTTCTAAGAAGTATTTACTAAAGCTTTTTAAACTATTCAACTCAGCATGTCATTTTGCAAATAAATAGTGTTAATTTGTGCCAGCAAAAAAATTTATAAATAAGTTACTTCGAATCATTAGCAACTTTCTTTGAAATCATTCGTAGGCTGTGATAATGCCTATTGTAAAATAACCTAGGCCTTCTATTCTTCCTAAAGTCACTTGTAACTTAAAGTTTTTTCACTTTCTAAAAAAAAAACATAGTCCTTGAAATGTTTCTTTGTAGAATAGATAGTAGCTTTTCAATTTCTTTTTTTTAATAATTGAAATCTGAATCTGTAAAATACTGAAGAAAATAGACATATAACTGTTTTTATGTACACTATCCTACCAAAAGTCATGGGACGCACCTCTCATTGCAGAAAAATGGGTGTGATGATGAAATATACGAATAGTTTGACCTATAAAGGTGATCCGCAGTTCGCTCGTAAGTCATTTCGAACTTGAACACCGAACGATGAATACACGGAAAGAGCTAACAGTTTCAGAGGGAAAGAATAGTTGGATGTTATTTGGGGAAAATGTCTGTACATGCCATTGTGCAACAATTAGACATTCCCAGGTCGACAATTGGCAACGTGCTGAAAAAGTGGGAGTCCACAGGTAACAATAATGATGAAAGTCTTCCGGATATATCTGGAAATCTGGATATTTCTAAAAAATCCTGAAAACCTCAGGTTTTCTTCCTGAAAAACACATTTTTTAAAATTATTTATCGGATTTTGGTGTTCCATGCCATAGATAAGCGTTTATGCAATCGCGCGGTTTGTTTACATTCGTTTTGTAGTCTCGCAATGCTCGCTAGCGTGTACGAGAACTTGTATGTTTATAATGCAAACTTCATGTCATGTGAACGAGATTTTATCTCGAAAACGTGCTTTAGAAAATGCAGTCATTCTTTTGTGTACCTTTCTATTGAGCGAGACAATTGAAGAGCCTTATCTATTCAAAGGTGTTTACCGAAGCGATATTAGATCAAATGAAATGTACAAACAAGTAGATAGGTCGGCGGATATCAGTAGCATAGAAGGAAAGGTAAAGAACAAGTTCAACTGGTCGTGGCTGGAGGAAAAGGATGTAAATGGTGACTTTTTATCGGACTTTGTGAGGAAAGTGTACAGGCCAGGATATGCGCTATGCACGTGGTTAGTAAATTTTACTTTATAGATCTATTAAAGTTTATAATCATTTCTTGTACTGGAGTTTTAGAAAATCGTTAATAATTTCTTAATTATCACTCAATGATGTGACTGATCAAGACGGCAAATCAAAGGATCAGTATTTGAGAGAAGTCTCAAGAATACAGACAGATCCAACCCTACCTGGGATAAATGACAGCACCCGACTGGATCACTGGTGGAGAGATGTTATGCCTTGCTATCCAGTTCTTGGGAAGGTAGTAAGAGCTTGTCTTAGTATTTTCACTGGACCATTTTGAACAGTCATTTAGCATTATGAATGACCTCATTGATGCTAAATCAAACAGGATGGCTGTGCAGACATATTCTTCATTTCAGAGCGTGAAATATGATTTAAAAGCACAGAACACTAGCAGCCTTGGTCATTACCATAGGGAGGATGTCCTAAGGGATCCTGTGGACAAGAGTGTGGGCTACCACATGCAGACAGCCTATGGCAGATATGCTAGAAAACTGAGGGAGAGGAAAGAAGAAAAAGCACTGCCAAATCCAGCTTATTCTAAACATAGATCAAAACAATCAGTGCACACAATTACTAAAAACTTTAAAAAAGCAATATGGTGAAAGAGGGGAGCTAGCAAGAGAAAACGAAACAGTGAGGATGTTGAAAAAACCAAGGAAGAAAAAGATCTAGTGTTGTTGGTGTCACTGTCACAGCTGGTTTTCTCTTTTCTAAGCAGACTGTCTTGTTTTATTATTATAGAACTATGAATTTTTTACAGAATTTGCAGTGCATTCCATGGTATATGTATAATTTAGTGCTTTATTGATGGATTTGAGATCTTTGAAGTGGCATGGTTATAAGAAATATTCCTTTTGTG